TTTGCCCCTGAGCACAATTACTTCCAGTCGAGTCACGCCCTGCCAGCTGTGGTCGTAACTAGTGAAATTCATATGGGAGTTACCTTCAGCAGTCGGGGCGTTTTGCAAGACGGAATCCGAGTCCTTATTCTCTCGGAAGGGTATGTCGCCTCCTCCAAAAAACATATCTCATCGCTTGATTGCACCGTCTCTCGTTACTTTTATCGATATCCCTACTGGAACTTGTCTTCAGCCAGTGAATCCTGCACAAATCCCGCAATTTAATGTCCTCCTTGCTGATATGCCACAAAACGACGGTGAGTCACCAAAACGTGAGGACATTAAAGAGCACAACTGCACCACGATTTGTTGTTGCCTAGAGGTTAGAATCAATCTACAGTAACCTGCGGTAAAGTTGTAACATGCCCAGGTTTCTGAAAATGCTTTGGAACGAAAAGATGTTAAAAAATGCGTCTTTTTAAATGCTGTGCTTATTGTAATGGACAGCTGTCATCTAAGTCAGACACTTGCAAATACACAAGATGGATTCGTTAGGTGGACAGGTAGAGGGTGCGAGGGAGAGAGAGAGAGCGTGAGAGAGAGAGAAAGATAGAGGAAGGGGAGGGGGAGAAAGTGGGACGTAATATGTTTTGGTTCTGGGGCACACAAAATTGTTATTGAAAAAAAATGCTCCAACCTCAGGCTTCGGCACGGGAAAAAGTACGGATATAATTGCTGCCGAATTGGGCAGTTAACAGGAGAGTTCGCTCCCTTGAGGGGGGCGAAATAAATTCAGCCCCAGATAGTTGAGTGAACAGTCTCCAGCGCTAAAGCGGAGCGACGTCTATTGGTGAGTGGATAGCAGCATCAAATTTTCGTCGTGTTAAGTCGTCCTATATTTACGGTCCCGTGTTTAGTTGTAAAAAAACATGCATGCCCTTTCGAATGCGCAAAATGTTGTTATATTAATTTAAAAAATCCGGATTGTAGATTCCGGAGGGGTGGCACTCAGTAGGCAGTCCTGTAATGACTCGCTACGTCGCATTTTAGATTCTATGACCTTCGAGTGGAATGTCAATGCCTTTACTTAGAGACAGTTTTTGCCATTACCAACCTTTGCTTAAGTGTACATTTTACGTTTTTGACAAGCACACGCAAATGTCGAACTTGTTATTTCGTGGGTACCTAGAAACTAGAGTGCCCGATGCAGCACCTACAAAACTTCGGGACTGTGTTCCTTGTTTCACACTGCCAATCCCCGCCGCCCTCCACTGCCACTGTCCCGCCACTGTCCCGTCCCATATAACAGTAACGGCAACGGTAGAATAAGCCTGGGCAACGACGACGACCCTACTACTACTACTACTACTACTACTACTACTACTACTACTACTACTACTACTACTACTACTACTACTACTACTACTAC